AAAAGAACAAAAGCTACAATCACTCAGTTAATAAAATTTCTAAGGTCTCTTTTTTTATTACTGCCTAAATTCATTTTAAAGATTCATTTGAAAATGTCAGTAGTTAATTGCTTGTTTGAAAATCAAAACCTTTTATAAAGAATGAAATTAGATTATCAATTTTATAGGTTGGCTTGGTTTTTCTGCAAATGAAAACCGGTGTATTAAACTATTTGCCTGTGTTGTTTTAGCTATTTGCTATTTTCAACTGGAATTGTGAGATTAGAATTTGAACACTAGTTACTGATTTTCACAAAATGTCATGTTGATCACTGAGTGTGTACTCTGATCCTTCATCTGAGGTTTTAACTGTCATATTGAGGTAGAAGATAATAGCCTGTATTTAGAGAATTATGTTGATCTGCAAACTTGTACTTGGATTCCTAGCCTGTGTTTTTATTATTTATCATGTTCATATTTGAAACCATGGCCTGATCTCTAGTTAGTCTTTTTGACAATTTATCATGTTGATCTGTGAGACTGTGATTTGATCTCTAGTCAGTCTTTTTGATTATTTATGTTGAACTCTGAGCCTGTGCTTCGACCTCAAGTCAGTTTTTTGACAATTTATCATGCTGATCTGTGAGACTGTGTTTTGATCTCTCATCACTCTTTTTGTTTATTTATCATGTTGAACTCTGAACTTGTGCTTTGATCTTGAGTCAGTTTTTTGACAATTTATCATGTTGATCAGTGAGGCTGTGTTTTGATCTCTCATCACTCTTTTTGTTTATTTATCATGTTGAACTCTGAGCTTGTGCTTTGATCTCGAGTCAGTTTTTTGACAATTTATCATGTTGATCTGTGAGACTGTTTTGATCTCTTGTCACTCTTTTTGTTTATTTATCATGTTGAACTCTGAGCTTGTGCTTTGATCTCGAGTCAATTTTTTGACAATTTATCATGTTGATCAGTGAGGCTGTGTTTTGATCTCTTGTCACTCTTTTTGTTTATTTATAATGTTGAACTCTGAGCCTGTGCTTTGATCTCCTGTCATTTTTTTGACAATTTATCATGTTGATCAGTGAGACTGTGTTTTGATCTCTCATCACTCTTTTTGTTTATTTATCATGTTGAACTCTGAGCTTGTGCCTAGTCAGTCTGTGGGGTCACTCACAGGGATTGCCTCATGTTCAGAGGAATAAAAACATACACAGAAATAACACTAAAAGCATGTTAAATTGTAAATTGAAATCATGCAATTTTATATATTTTTGTGTACTGGTGTATGTGTATTCTAGTTTGTTGTATCCTTAAAGACGTTACAAATAGACAAAGGTGGTACTCAAATGAAAAGAACGGCAACATGTGCTTAGATGAAAGAAAGAGAGGTTTATTGTAAAAGAGAATACACTGCTAAAAGACAGGGAATCGGGTGGCAAGCTAGTAATTCCCAAAGCAAGCCCCTAAGTATATCCTGTGCTTACTATATATAGCTGCTGATATAGTCAGTCCACATAGGTGATAGGGAGTGTGGGACATTCCATTACAACATAGTGTTTTACAGTTGTATTTGATAAAAGGAAGAAGTCACTTTGTATTATGACAAGCAATGTCACAGAGAGTGAAGCTGGACATCTTGATTTTCCAACAAAGAGAATGAATTCAGTGTCTTCAGGCAGAAAATGTTTCTGTTGCATTCTGGGAGAACTTTTATTTTTATTCTTTATTTAATTTATTTTAAACACCGTTTTAATCTTCTTTGTTTTATTTTATTTTATTTATGATAATCATTATTATTATTATTTTATATTTTATTTTTATTTATTAATAATAATATGCCTACAAGTCTTTTGACTATTTATCATGTTGTTCTGCAAGGTTGTGCTTTGATTATGCCTAGAGTTATATATCAAGAATATTTCATTACATCAGTGGATTGTTTGGCCTTGATCTTCCTTTTTTTGCCCATAACTGTGTTTTACAGCTTTACACCATTGCTGGTAAAATAGCTTTCTCAAAACGGTGGAATTTTGTTTTAAGCAATTCATTTTTTTTAAAAAAACTGTCATATGTTGAAGGCTGCCCATACAGCCCTGCTTTTCTTTGTAAATTCTTCTTTTATTTTGTTCACTATTGATTTGCTTTGTCTAAAAGAATAAAAACTAATTCAGTGAGTCTCCTATTTGTTTATATTCTGTCAAGGAAACCTTGACTTTTTAATTTTATTTTTGATTGCACTGATTACAAGGTCTACCTTCCAGCTTTATTGATTGACTTTACACAGCAATTTATTTATGGTCCAAGAATGAAATAAATTCACATAATAATAATAATAATAATTATTATTATTATTATTTTTCTACATGAGCAGTCATGGCTCTCCACAATTTCCTGTCCTTTGTATCTCTCAATAAATTTTGTCTTTCGGCTATCCCTTCTAATCCTGCCAACCATTTACACAAGCTTGTTAGGTAGGTTATGTGCTGCTTTCCTCAGTGTTTCTTGTTTTCAGCATATCCTGTGAGTATCAAATTTTCCAAGCCCTCTTTCCTCATCATGTGCCCTAGCAATTTCAACTTTCTCTTTCTGATTCTAAGTATAAGTGTCCTTTTTGTTTCCATTTTCTCTAAAATTTTCTTGTAAAAATATTTTCTTACGTTTTTCACCCCCTTACTTAATTTGATAACAAATCTGAGAAATTCAACATGATAACTTTTATTGAATTAGTTAAAAGCAGAATTTTTTGAAGAATTTAAATCAACAAATTTCTTTTGCAAAATTGGACCAAAAGTCTGTTCTGAATTGAAAAATAAAAAACGCAATAAAACTTAGACATTATTTAATTAGAGAAGATTTTAATTGCTTTTATGAATGATAAATAGTGAAGACAATATTGTCTGAAGAAAAAAAAATTTTTCAACAAAAAATGTATTTTTACAAGATTTGAATAATTTATAAAGTTTTTATATCTTTTAAAAATCAGATTCAATGTGATAATTCTTAGGAAATATTGTTTCTTAAGTAAAAACTATATTTACTAATCATATATTGTAAAGCTTATTACAATCTGATGACACTGAAAATTTTTAAAAGAATTTCAATTTTGTTTTTGTATGTGTGATTACGTTCAGAATTTCTGAAGTATCAATGTACAAACTGATAAATCTAATATTAAAAGGTTATGTATTTTAAGGGTTGTCCCCACCACAATATGTAACTATTAAACATGTTCGGCTGTCAATTCATTGTCAATAAATCAATTAATATGTCAGAAAAACAAGACTTTTCATTTTTAAAAATTCATTTTAAACTTAAGGCATACCGAATTAGTGGAGGTACCTAATTAAAACAATAAAAATTGCTGAGGGAGTATGTGTGTGTGTGTGTATGTTTGTGTATATATATATATATATATATATATATATATATTATTTATTTTTATTATGAGAGATAAAAACATGTTGAAATCACTGCACAAAAGCTTTCATGTCTCAATACTTAGTGATTTCAACTTGTTTTTATTGTAATCTCTTATAATAAAAATAACATATTACTCTACTTTGTATTGAGCACTTTTTAAAAAGTAAATGGTACAGTGTTCTTTCTTTATCTCATTTGGATATATATATATATATATATATATATGATGGATGTATGAGGATCAAGTAGCTCAGTTCCTTGGAACTGACAGCCAGACATCAGCACATATGATTTGATTATAGTGGTGAAGGCTTTGTGCAGAACCAACCACACTTTTTGAAGGGCCGAATACAGAGACCTGGCACACTATATGCCATAAGTTCCCCAAACCACCCTCCATAGGCACAGTGGATAGTGGCTTGGATTGAGGAATCAGAGAGCTGAGTTCAAATTCCTGTCAAATCCATTACATTCACTTACGTGCTAATACCTTTGGGAAAGATATTAATCCTCTTCTTCTCCTTCCAGCTATGGGTAAATAGCAGGACAGACTAGGTTCTATAGCCTTGGATGGCAACTGGTTTAGGAGAAGGACAACTCTGGATATATATATCTATGTGCGTGTGTGGACACAAACACATACAAAAAACAAACAACACAAAACCAGAAGTTTCGCAGAATTCATTTCCAAAAAATTTATGATGAAGTTTAAATAAAAGCAAAACATGTTAAATTTATAAATGTTTCCTATTCGTTCATTATCCTGACATATACAAATGCTTTAAAGAGATGCGCACTGCAAGTATCTATGCATTAAGATTTTGCCACATGCTGTGAAATGCTGACCTGAAGGAGAAAAGTTTGTGCCTTTATTTTCTGCAACTATCAGTGACAGATACCCACCTGTGAATTGTGATGATGCGTATCTGCATGTGCTTACACACTTTGGTTGCTTCTTTTTTTCCCCACTCCATGTCAAGCAATACCTACTTCAGTATGAGTCAGAATCGAATAGTGCAATCAAACACACTAAAACAGTAATGGTCTCTAAGATGATATTCCTAAATATTGCTCTATGGTGAAGCAATTTTTAAATAATCTAAAATTAGTGTATGGGCACGAATGTGTATTACCCAGTGGGAATCAAACCCATTACAGTAGTAAAGGTTTTCACTTTAAGACAAGATTACTAACCATTGTTCCATTTGATAATGTATTTTTTCTCACTAAGTGTTCATCCAGTTCAAGGCCCAAAAGCCACTCAAGGTAGAGTGTTACTGAATGAGATTGTTGTATGAACATAGGATAAAGATCAATTGATTATTTTGTTACTATGACTTATCAAACCATTGCAATTTATTTAAAGTCAGAAAATACTCTTAGATTGTAAGAATCTTTTTTTTAAATAATAATTGTTTAGTGATACAAGTCTTATTAATTACTAATTAACCCATAGCTGGGTGGTGAAGAGGTGGATTCATACCTTTCCTAAGGTTATTTGCATGTAAGTGAATATAACAAACCCAATGGGAATTGGAACTCTGCTCTCCAATTAACAATTCTGAGCAATTATCTATTATACCACTTGAACATCCTCGCTTACAGTGCCTGGTATTCTCAAGTGGTCACCCATTTAAGTACTGGCCAGGCTCAACATTGCTTAATTTAAGTATTTGTATGGGAACCAGTGTTTCAATGTATTGCGGCCATAAGCATATCTGATAGAGGTAAGAAGTGCAGATTATGAGAGTACATAAGAAAGGTAATGGCTGACTTAAGAGGTTAAGACTGTAGCAATCAGGGAAGCATACTCTTGTGAGTCTGTTCTACAAAATAGCAGTTCCAGAGATTAAATTGTCTGAATGGAATTTCCTTCTTACTAATAGGTTATATAAGGAATAATGATAATACATCCCTGTGTACATGGCCTGGCGGATCTTAGCTATGAAGGTCTGGACCGGTGGAACTAATGAATGTATATGTTAATATATTTATGAGATGAGGTATTGTACCTATTTACACTATTTACATTGTAAATAAGGAGGGTAGATAACTATTGACCATTGAAGTGAAGAAGATTGAAGTGTTCAGGGAAGCATCCACATGGAAGTCTATTCAACAAAATAGCTGTTCTTGGGAATCAAACTATCTGATTGGAACTTTCTCATTACATTTTGGATACAGAGGAAATGAAGGTGATTTGACTCACTGCAAGTACCATAGCATGTTCTAACTGTAAAGATCTGAACTGGAGCTCATTTGATGTGTAAAAGTAATGCATTTTTCATCACTAAGCTACAGACTTATTGATATACTTGCACATTTTTAATGACTGGTGGATGTTAAATCCAATGGCTGTTTATTTAGTCTTAGGCAATTAATTTCTTATTTACACCCTGTTTATTTGGTCAATTTAAAAACTGGGGTTGTCCCACCAAATGTCGTTATTAACATTAATTAATACAACTATAAAAAGGTTTAATGAATTTGATTCTTAAATTTCTAATTCATCTTATTACAGTAAATGTTTTGATTTGATTTTTTATGTTCCTGCTTTGTTAAAATGCATCTTATTAACCTCTTTTCCCAATGGTTCCCAAACGTAAGGTCATGACCCTACTGAAAGTCACAGAAATACTCCTGAGGGTAGCTTTGTTAAGAAAAAATATTAAAAGTAATAATTGGAAAAACATCTGTAAACTTAGATATGAGACATTGTCTATATCTCACCCTTGCACACGAATATTCTTTTTCTTTTTACTCATTTCAATCCAAGCAAGGCAATAAAGCCACTAAGATGCAGGGAGTTACAGAGTGTAGAATAATATGAGAAAAAAACATTATTAAGGAGATAGAACAATAAAAGAACAGGAATTAAGAAAACAGAAGATAATGATTGACATTGCATTTAAATTTTTGAGGATAAAAGTTGACTGGAAAGCAAGAAGCTGGAAAAGAGTTCCATAAGCAGGAAGTGCATGAGAATAAGCTGTTAGCATAGAACTTGTGGTTACATCTAGCCATTTCTACTGGAACAGAATATGAAAAAACATTAAGGGGAGAGAACAATAAAAGAACAGGATTTAAGAAGACAGAAGATAACGATTGACATTGCATATAAATTTTTGAAGATCAAAGTTGACTGGAAGCTGAAAGAGAGATCCACAAGCAACAGAATAATTAGCATGAACTTAATGGTAAAATAATGAGACCTAGCAGCCAATCAAGTACTGCACTTAAATTCATATATCTAGATACCATGGAGGAAAGTTTGTCAGAACAATTATCATGAAAATATTGATAGAAAAGGTACAGCGGAGCTATATTATGGCAGTGGGAAAGTAACTGAAGCTGAGATGCCAGATCAGGACCAATTATATTGCTGATCTTTCATTGGATTTTATCAAGAATCTGTAAATACATAGCAGAAGCACTAGACCAGATATGGCAGCAATATTCAATGCATGTGATGAATGGTTGACTTATTCATATGTAAGATAATTTCTGATGACAAAAATCTTTCTAGCACGACACAGTGAACCAACGAGCAGCAGATTGAGCAATTTATATATGTACATATGGTGTTTGTTCATATATGCCTCTCTGTGGTACATATTTAAAGAGAAAGATATGACAATATATATACCAAATGTAACAGCAAAATTGTCAAAATCGTGTAACAGCACTGGATAATTGTCTATCCCACAAAATGTTTAATATCTAAAAAACCACTAAACTAATTGAGTTTCTTTTTTCCAAGTTTTCAGATAAGACATTTCGCCCTCTTGACACCATTTATCATAAGAATCACTGAAAAATCCTTTGAGTTATTCAGCTAGAAAGAGAAGAGGTTAAAATCATTTTGTGTCATCCCCACTATATCTTCCCAACTGAACAATGGTGAGAGGAAAAAGATCATTCATGCCTTCAGTAATGGTACCAACATTCATACTCGAGCTTCCATCTTCAAAGTCTATTCAAGAACCATCAAGAGAACGGTGAATAAGTTTAAAAAAGAGGGGACAGTAGAGAGGAAAACTGGATCAGGAAGTTACAACAGCAAGAGGGATCATCATTTCAACTTCGAGATAAATACATTCTTATTGCTCAAAGTAGAGTCCAATAGTGTTATAAAAACCTTGGAGAAATCCAGTAAGATATCTTTAATCATTTCTAAGATACAACAGTTCAAAGCTTAATCTAACAACTGAACAATTTTGCTGTTGTACCCAGTATTAACAAATAAAATACATTAATTCTTCACACATTATATATATATATATATATATATATATATTTTTTTTTTTTTTTTGAAACATGGTTAGAACTGTGTAGCGGAAAAAACCATATTTTAAATCAATTAATTTATAATATTAATGCTCTGTAAATTTACATCAAGCACTATTTTGTAAAAATAAAAATATCAATAAGAACACCGGATTATATATCTTACTGTTCTTTCTTTTTATTTATATATATATATATATATATATATATATATGTGTGTGTGTGAAGAATTGATTTTATTTATTAATCTGACATATTTTTATTGCTTCAAATATTATTTTTTAATGTTTATCCATATTTAAGTAGATGCTCTGTTTATTTTAAACAGTATTTCATCTACTGGCCTGCATACTTGAAGAAAATTAATAAAGAAAATCTGCACTATGACAGGATTTGAACACACATACAACTTTGCAAGAGGAACCACCATTTGATCAGGCTACAAAGAGTGTCACAGTAAAGGATTCTTTTTTGCCTCTAGAGCACACTTACTCATTCAGATTTCTAAATGTAAACAAAGAAATTTCTAAAGAATTAATGGATTGTATTTTTTAATCCAGCATATTTTTATTACTTCAAACATTATTATCAGTAGATAGTCATATTTGAGTAGATGCTCTGTGTATTTTAAAATGTACTTATTTTGTCTACCGGACTGCATACTAAAGAAAACTTAATAAAGGCAATGCATCCTCCAGCAGGATTTAACCTGCTTCCCCACTAACATTTGAAGTAAGAAATATATAAATATATGTTATAGTAATTTACCCACACATGCATGGATTCTCCCAGCTATAAATAGGAGCAGGTACTGCCTTTTGGGGAGGGAAGTTTCCAGCAGTCACCTCTGACAGTCAGACCAAACATTCTTGCTGTAACACTCTCTATGTTTGTAATACTGTTTCTGTTAATATATATGTTTAACTCAATTCCTCTCTTTGTGTCTTTATTTCTGACCCTAAAAAGGCCACAACAATACATATAGGCAAAATTTAACATTTATATTTATTTAATTTAGAATTGGTTACAAAAGTATTGAACATTATTGTTGTAACTAAACAAGAATAAAATAAAATAAAATCTAATTAAAAAAAAAAAAAAGGATAATAAATCCAGACACTCGCAATCTACTTTAGCAAATTTCTGTGGAGATAACAAAACAAAAATGCACAGAAAATGCCTTTCTCCAATGTTTATAATAAATTAATTGTAGTTATGTGTTCATTTAAATTGTCTCGTCCCACAGACATTTTTATAAATTTACAAATAAAAAGATTGTTATTTCTTTTATGATATGGTTGTTTGCAAAAGAAACAGCTCAGCATGCAAATTACATATTGGAGATAACAAAATCAAATCAGTGTAAGAATTTAAGTATCTGGATGGAAATGTAACACTGAAATCCAAAGGAGTATTAGGATAGTGTAAGATGCATTGAAAAAGCTAAGCAAAGTATTAAGAAACATGAAAATTTTGTTCAAAACAGGGAAAAGAGTATTGAACTGCTATATAATATCAGTTGTTCTATATAGCTGTGAATGCATGCCAATCTTATCACAGATGAAGAAGAAAAAGATGTGTTTGGTAATCCATCCATATGGATAATTCCAGGGAGGATATAATCCAGAGAGCTCAATGTAAAAACATAGAAAATATTAATTATATTAAGAAACAGATAACTTTAAGGGTTCATGGTGATTATAATTTATTTCCTTAGAATTGAAATTCGATTCTAATTCCTCAGATCAACATTTTCATACAAATATATCACAAATTATATATATATATATATATATATATAATTTGTAACATAACTAAGAATATTATCTGCAGAAGGAAAAAAAGAAAACTTTTCTTAGATGATTTGCAGTGACGTGCAGAGGTTTGGTGATGCCCAGGGCCAACTCCTTGATTGTATGTCCCTAAGACACAAATAGGAGGGGGGTCTGTAGGGTCTATTATTGAGAAATGTGAGAAAGGAAGACATTTTAAATATGTAAATTGCATAATCTTTTATTTAAATTCCTTAAGTTTTATTTGATGTATTCCTTGTGGCAATTATGACAGGTTTTATATATATATATATATATATATATATATATATATATATATATATATATATATATGAATTTCTTCATAATCATATATATATATATATATATATTTCTGTTTTTCTGTAGTTTACTGCTACCAGCAAGCAGAAATATTTCTTCTCCTGATGATGGCCATTTTGGCCGAAACTAGTTGAGGAATCTAAATGAAATAATAATAAAAAAAACAAAAGAATATTAATCTACAACCCAGTGTGTCTGAAGATTTAAATTTTTTATTATTTTTTTATTGTTCAATATATATATATATATATATATATATATATATATATTATATTAAGAAACAGACAACTTTAAAGG